AAGAATGACTGAGGAATTTGTATTGAGTGAAAAATAGGCATAGAGGCTTTAAAATTAAACTGCTACAGTCTGGGTAAGTGGACTGAGAAACTAAAACTTCAGTAATGAAACATTTCTCCTAAATATTTAAACAGACTACTACAGTTCAATCTCTTACTTTCTAACTGTAAGAACAACAGGAAAATGGAACAAGCTGCCTGAAGAAATTGTGGCATCTCCTTCACTTAAGGTTTTCAAAAAGTGGCTGAATGTGCATCTCTGATGTAGTTTAGAAAAAGTGATTGGACTAGATGACCTTGTGAGATCCCTTCCAGCCCTACTTTCCTATGATTAAAATGACCCTAAGAAATTGCTGAACTTTATGAGCAGTGCAGTGAAGAAATCCCTGTAACTGTTAAGGTTTGCAAAAACCTGAATCATTGAAGAGAAAATATCACTGCCTTCAGTTTATTTTGGGGAGAAGAAAGATATTTACTGAAGTTGCATTTCCATTTCTATTTCCTGAAGAGACTGGTTTCTCTGAAGGCAAGCCTGGGTCATTCATGAGGGATCTGGGTTTTCCATTTACCATGGAAAAATGGGGGGTGGGGGAGGGCTGTGCATTTTCCCTTTTACCCCCCAAAAAACATGGATTTTTCATTTTAACACAGAAACATGTGGATTTTGCTCTTTTGCATAGAGCTCTCTGCAGGCTGGCAAACTTCCAGCCTGCAAGGAGCTGATGGGGAGCAGGAGGAGGGTGGTCAAGCATGGGGAAGCCATGTACATGCATGTCGAGGCGGCGGGGAGACCGTCCCCCACAGATAAGGGGGGGGGGGGGCGGAATTGGGGCCCCCATATGGAAGGAGGGAGTCAGTGAGTTGGGCAGGACTGGGGCTGCTACCCATCTCAGGCACTGCATGGGGCTGGGGCCAGGGGCCACAATGCATGGCCACAGAGCCCTGGTGGGGGAGTGGGATGAGGCCACAGGTGGCTCCTCCAGGGGGCAGGGAGGTTGTTGCTGGCTTCCCGCTGCTGTGTGCACTCCTGGGGGGAATGCTGTGGGGGGCAGAGGGTTGTGGACCTAGGTCCCTAGCCCCATAGCTCTGGCAGCTGGGGTCCCACTCCAGCAGGGCTGGGTGGGCAAGGGGCTGTGGTTGGGGAGTGAGGGGCACCAGCAGGGCTGGGGGGACTGTGACTTGGGAGTGAGGGGCCTGGACCTGCATTCCAGTGAGCTAAGGGGGCAGGGGGAGCTCTGATTTTCCATGATAAAAAACCCATATTCAAATACCTTGCTTTAGAGGTACTTAGAATTTATTTTATTATAGTTATTGAGATGCTAGTGGGCTTCCAAATTTCTTTAAAACTGTAAACATATTAATAAAATATTGTGTTCAGTTGATACCTATATATATAGTGGCATTTCATTTTAATCACAGACTTGGGGTTTCTTGTCAGAGAATTTGTAACTTTTTTTTTTTTAAATCAGGGAAAACCATGATCCCTGTTCATGACACTGGGGAACTTGAGTATGTTACCTGAATCCTAAATTTAGAAGTGAATAACAGTGGGGACATGGCTATGCCAATTTACACTAGGTGAGAATCTGAACAATATATTTAAATCGAGAGTCAATAGGTTCATAAATAGTAAATTTTCATCACTCACATTTATCCTGTCATATCTCCTACTCCAGTTGTGTAGAGCTTTGTGTTAACCCATTGACATTAATTGAACTATTTGAGGAGTAAAATATTACTCACTAGCCGTATCTACATGGGTGCTTAACTGCAGAATAAACTAATTAGCTGCAGAGTAGTGCATCACTGTCTACACATGTGATGCTATTAGGCCACAGAAACTAATTTATGCTGCCATAAGATAGTACTATCTTATGGTGGAGTAATTAACTGTGATTAAACATGCATGTAGATGCTGACCATGGGAGTAAATTGTGCCCAGTCAGCCCAGCCAGCAGAGGGCCAGACTCCTGTCTGCTGCTTAGCCACACAGCTCCATACTTTCAGCACCCTCGTGCCCCAGCCAGCTGCTCCATCTCTTGATGCTGCCACCCAGAGCCCTAGGCTGACCCTCCTGTTCTCCTAGCTCTGATATAAACTGCTCCACCCCAGCTCAAATTGCTGCTGATCCAGACACATGTGTGTATGCTGAACTCAGGAGTAGTTTACTCCAGCTCAATCTGCTCTGGAGTTTATTGCTTCAAATTAATTGCACATATAGATGCACGCATTGTGAGTAACAGTGGCAGTATCTGGCATTGAGAAGGGAGAAGGATAAATCAAGTGTGCTGTTCTCCAGAAACAATGATTGGGAGTCTTGACATTTTACATAAAGTCCAACTTTGGAAATGGATTAGAACAGTGAGGATGTGAAAAAAACAGCAAGATAGTAAAACCAGAAACAAGCATGTGTTCCATCTGCCCCTGTAGAATTTCCAAATTTCAAGGTGTGTGTGTTTTAAAGGCCAAATTAATATGTTCTTCCATGTTGGTCCCAACTATAGGACACATTTTGCTGTTTTTTTCTAAAAAAATATTAGCCCTAAATGAATAATTTAAAGTTCACTTGAATAATAGTTGCTGCAATATGCAACTCATATATATTAGGGTTAAATAAAGATTCTTGTCACTTACCCATACATCTGTGAAAAGGAAATATGACACAAATAACTGATTCCCTATGTGTCATTGTTTTACTCAGTCTCAGAGTTAATCATCTCTTTTTTTTGTCATCTGGTTCTGGATTACACCAGGAAGTAGAATGATATAAGCTATAAAATTCTTTTAATCACCTGGCTATAGCAAAGGTAGAAAAAGGGAACCTAAGCTTGATGCTATATCAATAACAAGTCACACATTTTAAGAAGTGGCTCTACTGCCTCCTGATTTACCCTTTCAGCACAGGATGTAGGACATGGAAGTCAGGAGATCATAGATCCTATCCATGGCTCTGCTGCACACCTGCTGTCTAACACATGATGCATTATTGAAACATTGTGCTTCTGCTTCTTAAATAAGTGAGCACAGGATGAGCTCTGAGGCTAAATGAATCTTGTAAAGCAGAGGTGCTAAGTACATGGGCCTGAAGGCCCTGATCCCCCTTGGGAAGAGGACTGTCACTTGAAATGAGTAAAACTTTCCACATGGCCACCATCTTAACCCCCTCCCCACACTACCACCCCGGCAAGAATAAAAGTCAGTGCCTATGTTATAAAGCACAGTGAGTTAACTGCCAAGGGAAATTATAATTTTAATGTATGTCCCCAAATGTAATTCAAATGAAAATCTAAGGTCCTCCCAGCCTAATGGCCCATTGGACAAATGTGGTTAAGGCAGACCAGTTTCTATAGCTAGTGGTACACTAGGTAATAATGTGGCTGGCGTCACACCTGACCACCTTTGACTCCCCAGCCTGAATGGCTTGTCTCCATTTACAGGTGGGTCAACTGGGATAGCTTTTCATATGAATTCACAGCAGGGCTGGAAATTACATCTGCAGAGCCATAGCAAAATGCCATAGGACTGTTATCCCACCCTAAATAATACTATGAAGTATTCAATGTTTGCTTTGTAAAATGAAGCTCATATCATTAGTTGTTTGTAGAAGGAATGCAGATTGTCCTAATTGACTAGGCAGTATTAATTCCATCTTCATAATACAATTTTGAGAATGTATTGGTTAAATATTCCTTTGAAGCCATATGAGACTTTAAAAATAAGGGTGGTCGCACAAGTTTAAACAAAAATTGAAAGCATCACCTAAAAGTCAATGTAAACTTTTCCAGTGTTTTGCAGAAGATTTGCTATTCATGTTATTTTTAGTCTACACAGAATCTTAGTGGCTAAAATCTCATGATGAGAAAACCTTTTCTTTTGAAACTTCCTACATAATTTTGCAGCAATAAACATTTTAGAGGAGATTCATTTCAGCATCCAAACTTTAGCCTGCTCACCTACATAAATCACTGAGTGGTTTGAAAATCACCCGTCACTTGTAGGAAACCAGAGAACTTAAGTTGTGAAAGAGAAATTCATTTCTTCAGCTACAGCAATAGATCAATTTCAGGGCATAAATATAGGCAGTGTAAGTGAAGGGTTTGAATTTAGCCAACCTACATTAATGGTAGCTAAGGCTTTTATGTCAAATTGAATTAGCAAACTTCTTTTGAGTTCTTATACCAAATCAAAACAAGATTAATAATATCTTTCCTGTAACTCTTGAAGCATTATACTCATCATTTTGCTGAATAGTTACCTGCAGACTGAGGCCTATCTGTTATTCTTTCTGATGGTTTTGTTGCAAACTATTCTGGTTTACTTTTTTCTATTTTTTTAAATTCAGAATGCCCATTTTTTCATGAATAGATCAATGTCATAATTCCCATTAAGGACGCCAATGAGAATATATAACATAAATATGATTTCATCTCTGTTTTCATTACCTTCTTTATAACTGAGCATTGTATACTAGTGAATATCTATAACAATTCTTCATCCAGCACTTCTGTTCTCTCTAAACCTAGATATGTAAGTAAAAGGTTTCAATGTTGGATGTCTTTGTCTGTGTTCAGAAATGTTATTATGACTAGTGTAAAAGTAGTGGCAAAGCAACACAGCATTGATGATGCTCTTTATGTTTACTATGAAAACTGTCTTCCTAGGCACCAAGCGTAAGCCAAGCTAGCAGTAGCAATATGAGAAATCATATCCTATTTACAAGGAGCAAGCAGCTTTCCTATGACCTTCAGTTCACACACTTACTGTGCACCCCTCCATTATCCTCTGCTATGTAACCTGTTCACAGGTGATTTAGGTGGACTGATTTGCTGCTGTCAGTAACCTCTGGTTTCTGTATGAGGTGGAATAAGCCTAAGGGAAAGCGTGGGATGGTGTGAGAGGGATGTTTGAAAGCAAGGTTACACATGCTGTAAAAACATAATGTATAATCTTTCATAGTAGCTCTATAATTTTTATCCTCTGTTCATCTGACAGAAAGAAAAACTGCAAGCTGATAACAGCCCTGAAACAGAACCAATTGAAGGAGATTCTTTTTATCTACAGGTTAAAATAATAGGAAAGCAGGGAATATGCAAGGAGCAGAATGCAGCTCTGACATGAAGAATTAGTCACTGTTGGAAAAGCATTGCTTGAACTGTTGAAGGAAGAGCCTTGCTGTCCATAAAAGCAACACAACAGAAACTGTACTTCCACATGATCTTGAAAACAGAGTGGTGAGTTATTTTTAGTTTCAGAGGACTTATTTGAAGCATTTTTGAGAACTCACTTAAAGCAGCAGCAGAACTGGGCCATCAGTGAGTGCTTTGCAATCATCTCAGCTTAGCTTTTTTAGAAAATGACATGCATGTAGGATCAAGATGAGAAGGTGGGCTTTTAAAAAGCAAATATGTCTGTCCTGCTAACCTAATTTTTCATACTTTTATATGATGATTATGGTAATCTCTTTACAAGATGAAGCTAATTATTTATTTAGAATTTGGTGGCTCAGTATTTTTGTTAGAATACAAATAGGGTTATTTGTTAGGGTTATTTGTTGTTAATGAGGATTCTGTAATTATTGTACAGTGTCTGGCAGTTATTAGAATTATCTTCTTGTAAAATTAACCATGTAACAACATCCAATCCCGCCCCCCCCACAAAAAATATGCCAGAAGCATTGTGCTACATGCTTTTTTCTGCTTATTATAATCTCATTAATAAAATCAGTTGTTTATTGGCATCAAAATGTGAAATTGTACTCTATGCATACCAACTTTTTCTTCCAACAGCTTTTTTTCCCACCGGCTATTAGAATCAAATCCACACACATGTATATTCACTGCACAGATATATTGTTATACAGTGGCTCTTTACTACAGAGAGTGCATGATATATAACAACATCCACACAAGCTTTTTGATGTGTTCTCTAAACTTCACCGCTACTTGTTAGGATGGCTGTTTATTAGAATCAAAAGTGCTGCCCCCAATGTGATTCCAAGAAGTGGTGAATACTGTATGAAAATGGTATTAAAAGAATATCATTAAAGTAAAATGCTCACAAGTTAGGAGATGAAAGAATTGAGGTTACCATTGCAACTTTAACTTGACTCTTTTGTGCATGTGGATTATTATATAGTCTTTCTAAATATGGTCAGTTTTTCAGCCATGGGCAGGAGGTAGGGGAGGAGAGGAGAGTTAACCCCTGTGGCTGAGTGGGTAGGAAACTTGTTCGGGGAGCAGAAGACCTGGCTTGTAGAGAAAAAAAAGTAGTTCTTCACTTAGTAATCAATTCATCAACTGTGTTCCTTCTGTGCACTGAATAAGGCAAACGTAGTATGTGATTGTTTATTTAAAAGTTGTACCATAATGGGCATGTCTACATGAGACATCTACTGCACTTGCCTAATTATCGCCACAGTAAAACATTACCATCTACACGTGTGGTGCTCTTAGGACACAGTAAACTAATTAACTCCTCTGTAGGATAGTACAGCCAGACAAATACTATCCTAAGGTGGAGTTATTCACTCTGTCACAACACACATACAGACACTGACAGGGCTGGCTGGGGCACAAGGGTGCTTTAGTGTGGGTGCTGCCTGCCAGCTAGCCCCACATGATAGCACCCTCGTGCCCCAGACAGCCCCTCTGCAGCAGTTGAGCTGGGTCAGAGCAGCCCCAAGCTGGCAGGCGGACCCCTGGGGCTCCCTGCAAGCTTCAGCTCAATGTGCTGAGGTCCTGGGTACCTGTGCGAACAGCACACTTGTATGCAATAAACTCCAGTGTGAACTGTGCTAGAGTTTATTCAGGTGCGTCACTCACATCTGTTCATGTGCCCAGTGAGTACATACAGACGAACCAAACAAAAGTTGCACAGGTGGCTTTAGATCTGCCATGTCTAGCTTTTGAGAGCTAGATTTAGAAACCTTCAAATGTCATTTTTAATGTAGAATTTTGTAATCTGTGTATGTGCGTGTGTTTTCAAATACCAGAACCTCGGTCATATGGCATCATTCTGGCAACTATGTGGATCAACATGGGATGAGATAAGTCACCATTATGGTTGGAACCTTCAGATGCACGACACTAGACTTCAACAATTGACTTTAGACAATTTGAGCTAATGGAGTAGCTGAGACAAACTACTTAATACTACTAAGTGAACCTTTACAAGAAGGAAGTGAAATACTTTGCCAGGGGATTTCTAGAAGTTTGCTGGCAGCAGAGTAATGGTGAGATTCAAAAATGTTTAGCTTCCTTCCAAACTTTGGCTCTAGTGGTCCACAGACTTTTCTGGCCATACCCTTCAAGTATGAGCTTTTTTCTCCCGTCTGCTTCAAATTATACATATCCTTTCTCTTCTCCATGTCTGTCTCATCAGTCCAATTACATCTTCCATCCCTAGCTAATACTGGTTTTTACTCATTAGCCTTGTCACTCCAGTTCCAGTGTCCTTGTCCAGCAAGCCTTAATTTTACCAAGAGCCATGTTTCCGTGTCCCCATCCTCATGTAATCTCAGTCTCCCTGCACCTACCTTCCAATAACTTCTGCTTCCTTTTTCTTTCATCAGACAGAGAATCCCAATCTCATTCCGTAGAAAAACAGGTTGGGAAGGGACCTCAAAAAGTGACCAACCCTTTCTCAAGCCAAGATTGTCTCCATATAAACTGTCCTGGGACATAAGTTGTCTGTTCACCCTCAAAAACTTCCAACCTCTAGGCTTGAGATTGCCTAGAGAGATTGTGCAATCTGTTCTGGTGTTTAACCAACCTCAAAGTTAGAAAGTTGGACCTCTAAATCCCTTTGGTGGCAATTTAAGCCCATTACTATTTCTTCTGTCTCCTATGGACACAGATAACAGTGAATCCCTAACCATTTTATAAATATTTTGACATTTGAAGTCTGTTATTAAATCCCCCTTTCAGTTTTAGCTTCTCTAGCCTATATACTCCAACTTTTCCCAAACTTTTATTGATATAACATGGTTTCTTGAGCTCTAATACTTTTTGCTGCTCTCCTCAGGCGTCTTTCCAGTTCGACCACACCTATGCACACCAGCATGGTACACAAAGCCAGACACAACATTACAGTGCTGAAGATTGCATAGGAATTATTTCCCATGATTTACATACAATATTTCTGTTAATACAGTCAAATGCTATTAGACTTTGTTGCAGTGATGCATTCTTGACTTACTCACCTTGTGATCCACTACAATTCCTATGTCTCTTTTTGCAATGCTACAGCCTACCTAGTAATTCCCTACTTTGTATTTGTGCATTCGATTGCTCCTTCTTAAATTTTTCCTGTCCTCTGTTGTGCCTGCTACCTAACCATCTTGGTGTGATCCACAGATTTAAAAAATATAGTCCCAATTCCATCCTCCAAGCCATTCATGAAGATATTGAACAGTACTGGTTCCAGGACAGGCTCTTAGGGAATCTTTCCCTTTTGACATTGATGACTACTCTTTGAGTAGGATTATGCAACCAGTTATGCCTCCACTTTACAGTAGCCTAATCTGGACCATATTTCCTTAGCATACTTATATGAATTGTGCAGGATACAGGTATATCATATCCATTGCTCCCCCTGCATCCACAAGACCCAACACCTTGTCACAGAAGCAAATTGGGCTCATTTGCTCTTGACAAATCTATATTGTCTATTACTTATAACTTACCCTCTAGGGGTGTGTCGCCACGAGCTTGCACGTGCAGTTTGCAGTGCTGCAAACTACATGCACCACACATGTATGCATTCATTATGCTGCTAATTAGAGATCCCGGTGTAAAAAAACCCCAAAAAACTGTGGCAGAAAAAAAGTGTGGTGGTGCATATGGCTGCAGTGTGCACTGCCCAAAACTGGAGCCTGACTGGCCAGAGGCACAGTTTAGCTGCTGGCCGGGATCTGTGCCCCCAGATTAACACTGCTGTGGCCCTGGAAGCCCCTCAGGAACCCAGGTAAAGCTACTAGGGCCAGCCCAGATGCTGGCTGCAGCCTCCCCTACCCAACCTGGGGCTATCTGCCACATACCAGAGCACACGTGCAGGGGCATACCCAAAGACAACTAGCAGTGGCACAAATATGTGCCACTGCTATTTGTCCCCAGGGAAATGTACATTGCCACTCATGGGGATGCACCCTAGGGGTTTACAGTACAATTGTTTGATAATATGCTTTTTGTTAGACATCAAAGTTATGCTGGGTGCATCTACATGCGACACCATGTCACTGTAGCAACATGCTATGGCAATGTAGTGTCAGCAGGCAAACACCCTGATGCCACAGCTATGTCGCCGTAGCAACATGTTCTGTTGTTATAGTGCACTGCTACGGTGATATAGCATCTCAAAATAATCCTGAACCATTACTGTGCCATTACTGTGCCATCATTTATTACTTCTAAATGGACTAAATGACAACACAGTAGCAACAGCACCATAGGGGCACATGTAGATGCATCCACTGACTGTTCTATAATATTATGGGTTCTTCTCTTTTTTTTAAGATGGGCTGTCATCTGATAGCGGGGTTTTTTGGACTGAAGTTAAAAAGGAGCAGAACATGTAAGCCTTCTTGGCTTCATTTAGATCCTTTGTTAGTTGGATCTCAGCTTGTTCCTTGGCTTATCCTTACATGCTTACACTATACTCTTAACTCATTTTTTGTGGCAAATGATCCAACAACTTAAGGTGAGAGTGCTTTTTAAAATTCAGGTCTTTGAAAAGCTCATGGTTTAACCAGGCTTCCTATTCTTCTTTAGCCAGTACCATAGCACTGCTCCAGGTGCTGACTTGGAGGATAGGAGTTCAATAAAAAATGGCTGCTAATGGCAGCCACACAATCACAATTGTGATCATTGTAACAACTGGAAGTCACTGATACCCATGTGTGTCAGGATCCCAGCCATATCCCTGTGCCATTGTCCTTAGTGTTGGAATAGCTTGCTCTTATACCCTTAATAGTGTCTCTTTAAGGAACAACCAACTGTATTGAACTCCTCTTTTCTTTTGAAATTTTCTCCCCTGGGATCCTGCCTACCACTTCTCTATGTCTTTAAATATCTGCTTTTCTGAAGTCCAACATTTTTATTTGGCTGTTCTCCTTTCTTTGGCTTAACGTCATGACTACTATCATTTTGTTATCATTGTCACCTAGGCTGCCTTCCACCTTCAGGCTCTCAAATCAGTTTCTCCTGAAGACTTTCTTCTACTGGTTGCGAACTTACTGTACTCTCGACACACTCTTGTGTTATCTTCTAGCAGATATTGTGGTAATTTAAAGCCCTGAAGTTAGGATGATTTAATTAGTTAAAAAATTATATTAGTTTTATACCGGAAATCCTTTCTGAACAACTTATACACGTCCATTTCAATATTCCAATCATTAATGATCTCAAATCTTATTTATCCTGATTAGACCATACTGGGACTACCAGGTCTTCCTGCTTATACTGTAGTCCTTGCTTTTACATGCATTTTAGATTTGATTAGCTGATTATCTTGCTAGTTTCCCACTCCATCAATAAGATTTCCCATATTCCCTCCTATTCCTAGGCCTTTATTCAAGTTACCCTATCCTTTATTTACCTATGGGTTTTGTCTTCACCCATCTTGAATCTAGTGTTTAAAGCTCTCCTCACTAGGTTAGAGCATCTATTGGCAAATATGCTCCTCTCCTTCATTAGATGGATTCACTTCTCTGCACATTAGGCTTTTTTAGGACACTGTTGCATGGCCAAAGAAGTCAGAATCTTGTAAGGGACACTGTGACCCTGATTTTATTCCAACTATTAGGCATATATATGAATTGAAGTGTCTAAGACCTATTCTATTCCAGCCAGCTCAAGTCTCTGAAAAGTAGTTAGTTCAAAAGATGAGTGCTTCCTTGCTGTTTTTTGTCTCAGTATTAAGGGTATTATTGTATGCTATAAAAGCAGATACCTTAATGGCTGTTCAGGCACTTGAGCAGAGTGAAATGTTTATCCTTCATTTCCACTAACTCTTCAACTTTCCCTCCTGCCTATAATTTCCACTTGGGCCCTGTAACAGGTTGGGGTTTTTTTTTTTTTTTGTTTTTTTTTTTTTGTTTTGGGGGGGGGGGGGGCAGATGGCAAGGGGAATCCCAGGAACAGATTTAAGCGTAAATGCTAATTGGGGAAATTAAAATATTTGATTCCAGTGGCAATGATGAACATGGCAAAGTAAGAAGAATTTGCCATTAAAAAAACACAAGAAACACTCCATCTATTTTTTCAGTTCCATTTCAAATCTCTTAGCCTCCCCAGTGTCCCTCAATACCTCTAACTCACGTTCAGATTTCTCAGGCATATCTTTTTCTCAATATGCTTTGTCCATCTGTCTATCCCTCATGCTACTTATTCTCTCCTCTTCACACTTGCACTCAATTATTTTTCTCATCTAAACTGAGCCAGAACACTGGATCCAAACACTCTTGAAATATGAGTGAACGTTTCAAGTCTAAAATTTTAATTTACCACTCTGAATTTATTCTACAGTGTTAATACTGTGCCCACTCTTGAACAAAATACTTATGAAGCAATATTGTGCAGTGCCAGTTAACAACAAATTTTGGGCCCAAATATGCGAACCACAGTTTTTTTATGGATAAAACCAGGTAGGTTTGGTTGTCATCACATTAAGGTATTTGTGTGATGGCCTGCAGTTCTTTTGATATTTCTGATGTGAAGTGTGATTAACAATCAAAAAGTAAATCTATACATTAACTGTAGCCACCTTTATTAAGTTGATGCAAACAGAACATAAGAATCTGGCATGAGAAAATCATTCCATTAAAAAAATGAAATTCATGGTTATATTTCATTATCTAAGAACTAGAGAAATGTATTGAATGGTGTGTTAATCTTTTAAATCATAGTAGCTATGGCAGTGGGACAGAGCTATTTATTATCTGTCCTATTTTCATAGTTGAGGTTTCCAGCTTGAGTGGAAGTATAGAAGAGGCCAACATTTTACTCTGACTTGAAGCAGCTGTTAATGCCACTTCAAAAACTAATTATTACTTGTCAAAACTTTACACCCCATTGACTATGTCTGTAAACTAGCTAAAATGATCCATTTTCAGCAGTTTCCGCACTCAGGAGTTGATAGATGTTGGTACAGCGCTCTAAAGTAGTCTCCCTTTTAGAGCAAAATGGCTGTCAATACTTGCAGATTGAAATAGCTGAATGATGGGAGCACATTGACTGTTGGCTGGACAAGCAGTGATTCAGACTGGTCTCCTGATAACATCTTACAGCACAAACCCAGGTGACAAACAATATTTAAATTAAAATCCCACCAATAAAATTATCTTGTCTCCTTCACTTGCAAGGTAACATCTTGTCTTCTTTGAAGTTGGCAACCCCAGGGATGTTCTGAAGTGTACTTGCTGTCTGTGGCATAAAAGGTAAAATGCTGATACCATATAAAAAGAGCCAGAGAACTGCAATTCTTAGATTGCATCTCTGTGCATGGGAGACAAATAAATGACAAGGGAGCTGATTATGTTGCTAAGGGTTCTCATTTAGCAGAGAAGGGGTTTTCCACCTTTTTTGGTTGGTATACTTCTGGGGGCTGGTAGAGAACCGGGAGTCCCCTGGGGCCTAATCAACACCCCCAGGGGTATGTGTACCCCTGGTTGACACCCCCTGCAGTAGAGTAATTCCTATCTAGTGAGATCAAATGCTCCTATGGCTCACCATTGGTCAAAAAGCAGAGTTGGGATTTCTGTCTGTCCTTCCTTCCACTTAAATTTTTTTTTTAATGATTTGTGGGGTTTTTTTATTTCTCCTTGTCATGGGACGGGGTCCCTAAGGATGGCTGCGTTACCCCTAAGGCCCCTTGACCATGCCAATTTGGCCTGCAGAACACCCTCAGTTCTCACCCGCCACATTTTGATGGATTTATAGTATAGGGAGGCTGCCTTTAAGTCCTCTTGGACATGGTTTGATGGACTGTCTGGGAACCCCGTGCGTTCCTGGACCCCTTGTGGGTCCCGCTTCAAAATAGATGTCACAGGACACCCCAGCCTTATGGGCTATATGCATGGTTCCAACCACCCCTTTACCATGCCCCAAGACTTGCAGATGGTATTGACGGTGTTTGGTCTGGGCCTTGGTATGAATTGCCCCCCTTGTCCTCTCAGGGCTCTCCGCAGCCTCACTGGCACCTGGGCTCTCCACAGCCCCTGTCTCTGTGCCTCTCTGGCGCCGGGGTCTGTGCCCCCCAAAATGCCATACCCTCTCCAGCGCCGGAGTCCCCACATTGCAGTGGGCCCCCAATGAGGCCTCCTCCTTCCCCAAATAGCCTCACCCAAACCACCGGTCTTATAAAACAGCAAGCAAAACATAAGCCCCTGGGCTATAACATAACACCAGCTGCCCAGCTATAACATAATTCAAGCCACACAGGGCGTGCTCTGTCCTTCAACAGTACTGGAAGCTGCACCTGCAGTCAGGCCTCTCCCCTTTGCTTCCTCTGGGAGAGCACCTCCCCGCTTGGCTGCTAGTAGAGAACTGCCTTTCTGGCTTTAGCCCTGGGCTTTATATATGAGCCAGGCCCTGCCCCTTCTGGTCAGCTGACCGCTGGCAGGTGTGGGCCAACTAGGTCATCCTGGCTGCCCTGGTAACCAGCAGCTGGGGCTCCCAACTGACTGTAGTTCCAGTCCTTAAAAGAAGCAGGACACCCTACTGCCCTGCAACGCTCCTATTGTCATTGTTTTGCATAGAAAACAATTTATGAAACCTCAGAATGTTTCATGAAATGGAATTTAATTACTCTCTGTCCAGGCCTCGCCATCAATGGAATGCAAAGGAACTGAGCTGAAGAAGAGGATCTGCCACAAACACTTCAGTGGTAAAGTGGCTATTTATTGGATGAGTGGCCTGAGTTCTGTTGGGAAATGGCTTGGTTCTCCACTGTATTGTGTCTTATGTGCTCATAAATTGTATGTCAAAATTTAAATCGGAGCCATTGCCATTCATCTCCATTTTTCGCAGGCACAAGGTAGTGAAAACCCAAGCCCAAAGTGTACGCTATGGAAAAGCACACACATACACACAAATACATAAAATCCAAATAAATAAATATGAAACTAAAAATGGAGTCAGTTGTATGGGTCACTTTTAGATTTCAATGGCCCTAAATTGAAATGATGTGTCTTAATATTTGAGGTTTAAAAAGAGACAAGTATTTTGTGGGTGTTTAACATGTATTCTTTTTTCAGATATATATGATATATATATATATGGCCCAGGAAAAATTATATGCTTCTTGTTGTAGAATCCAGAATATTCTATAATGAAACAAATATTCAATTTAAAAAATTCATAATAACTAAACTATTTTTCCAAACCTAACATGTCCCTTAAATCTTAGTGTGACATCTAAAAAAAGTTTAACTATTTTTAAAAAACACTAAACATGAGTTCAGCTTTGTCAAATAATTAATTTTAAAGTATCAGATTGGAGTATAAGGGAAAAGGTTTTGTTTTATAGAAAGTCAAAATCACTTTTAGAGTTTATTGACCTATTTAAAAAAATAATCCCCTCTGGTTTGAGAGAAAACATGAGAAATATTACCAAATGCCTTTTGCATTAACCAAATGTATATGCAATTTAAAAAGGAAGTAATGAGGGCAGATGCATTTCAACTTAAGTGCTATCCAATACTATTTTTTCTATCAAAATATTAATCATATATACAGATGTATGTATAAATGTATAAAAATGCAAACTGTTTACCTAGCATATTTAGGACAAAACAAATGATTACATCTGTAGTAATTAATGTGTATGGGTGGTTACAATAAAAATGCTGATGCATCTCAAACTATAACAAACATTGTACCATGCTAAGAAAACAATACACCATACCGTAACACACTATCAAAGAAATGATATGTAAGTAATGGATCAAAGTCCATCGAGAGTTCCCAAACTCTGGTGTTAGAAATCCCTGCTTTCTTCCATTTCAAATAAGCTCTAAACAAAAAAGTTGCAATTATCTAAGAAGCTTTAGGGAGATGAGTGAGCAGGTACTTAACAGGACTTGTGTTAAACATACACAGTTAGTTCAGGTGTTGCCTTCTGGCAATTTCTGTGTGTTCTCTTATATTAATCTTTGTAATTTAATAGCTCTAAACAGAGATGATAATTATCTTAAACAAAAATGCCTTTTATGTTTAGTCTTTAGCACCTTATGTTTCACTCTCCTTCTAGTCCATAAACCACACGGACAAAACTAACCTCGGTCAGAAATGTAAAATTTAGTACTTTTGATATTGCGACACAGGTTATGATCAAAACTACAAGGCCCAGTCCAATTCCCAGGACTTAGCATTCCAATTTATTCTTGTGGTAGTTTTTCACAATATCTGAGAAACTTTTCTTAGTACCTTGTTATAAAAATTGGATCTAATTACTTATAAGAAAGTGCAAAGTACTGTCTTAATAGTTTACTACATCCAACGCTGAAAAAGTAGGTATCAATCTACCACTGAAACAGTAGTTAGCACTGCTGATTGTGTATAGCCTTATTCTGGATATGATGTGCCTAACACTGACAGAGACCTGTATCTTTTTTTGCCCTTGGTTAACACATGTATTGCTTCATATACCAGTAATGAGTCTTTGAAACTGAATTGACCTAAAACCAAACTTTATTGTTTCTCGGGTGAGAAATAGACAGAGAACAATTGGCCTAGGCCACAAAGTTCAGATTTACTTTGAATTAAAATCAAAACTTTCTTAAAATTAACTTTTTAAATTTATGTGGCAACCAATTTTTTGTGGTGCAGAACAAATTAAAGAGACAACCTCTGTCCTGCGGGAGTTGTAATCTAAGTCCCGTGTAGACTGGCATATGAGAACAGCCCTATGGTCTGCAACTCTACTTTACAGCTGGAGGATAATCACCTAACTTGAGACTCTCCACAATGACTAAGGTAAGAAAAGTGAAAGAGAGGAAAGGAAATGAATAACAAAGAAATCTGAGTTAATTTGGGTTGTTTTGTACATATCCTAATCACTGGCATATTTTAATTCTTTGGTTTTGCATCTTATTTCTAAAGTTTTATTGTAGTTTTAGGCACAAGGAAGAAGAAGTAAGGAATAAAGCAGCCAAAATGGACTTTATAATCCAGTCCTTTCCTCCCTCTTTCATCTCACTTACCTCTGAACAGCTCTTTTGAGGGGAAGCCTGGTGTCTTGCTAGCCTTCACCTGCATTGGAATTTACTTGGCCAAGACCATAGCTGGCCATAGGGAAAATGGTGCCCTGAGCGAACTTGTATTTTGCTGTCTTCCCCACCCCCCAAGCAAGCAGTGCTGCTGCAGGCAGAGGCAGGTGGGATGCTGGGTACAGTCCAGTGGAGAGGTGGAGCAGCGTGGTGTACCATAGGTGGGCAGGTAGGCAGTGCTGCTACTGTGTGTGAGCAAGGTAGGCAGACTGGTGCAGGTACTACCCCAGCCTCATGTACCCAGTCTGGCTCCTCCTGAGTAGCAGCTGCAGGCAGGGGGCAGGCTGAACTAGGCACTGCTTCTCTTGCTTGGGAAAGGGATTGGCCAGGGCAAGGTGGGGCAGGAGGAGAGCACTTCAGTGAACATGGGCTGCTCACACGTGTATGTGTGCATGTGCTTGGTGGCCCCCCCAAACCAAGTACGTAGGTAGTTGGTATTTAGGTTCTTAGTTATTAGGTGTACATAAAGGAGAGAGATGTGGATTTTCTATTTGGTTAACTATTTTGGTAGATGGCCTAACTTTTTAAGATTACTGTAACAAATGGCCATTCAGTGGTGCATATTTTGATTGTAATTTGATTTATAAAATATTTTGGAGCAAAGTCTATAGGTATGTGTAAATAAATAAATAATAATAACATGGGATTAAAAAATAAACAACTATTCCAATTACAACAGAAACTCTCTGGAACCATGGAAAAATAGAATGTAAACAGAGCTGCATGATTTTCAGGGTGGCATTTGGCACAGCAGTAAATCTTGCAGGTACATATACCCGTCTCTACAGTTTGACCCAATCATTCTATAGTATGCCGCTTTTGGAATCAGAGAACAGAAGTCAGGCCATCAGTGTTAGAGTATGGGGGGAGGGAATTTACATACAGTAAGTGCCTATTCAAATAGTTCCAACTCTGCTTGAATATCTATTGGCTTAGAAGGGTCTTAGATCCTGTGTTTCAGCAAGCTGTTATCATAGGGCGTCTATACACGTGCTCCAAGGGTGGGGGGTGCTTTCATTAGAGCAGTGCTTTGAAGTGCCTGGAGCATCTCATGTATCAGCATCCCCATGCTTCAAAATGGCAGTGGGGGCACTTTATCTAAAGCCCCAAAGTTCAGGGTCTCCAATGCACCCACCCCACCCTCCAGCACTGGCCGGGCAACCCCCAGAACAAGCTCCCTCCACTCCATCCCCTCTCCCATTCTGAAGACAATCCTGAGGCTGGGAGGAGTGAAGGACTGGCCTAGGGGAGAGTGACTGCAGACTTGCAGCTGCTCTAAACTTCAGCACAATCCCCCAACCCCTGGGACCCAACAGCAAATGTGTGTTGGGTACAAGGGATTGCTGTAACTCATGGCACTCACTGCAAAGTGCCATGAATTACAGCATGGAGCAGCAAATCTGTCTGTGCCCTTTGAAAAGCTCATTAAAGTATCTATGTGTGATATGCTCACAGAAGGTAAGATTCTGAACGACAGCCAGCATGGCTTTGTTGCAAGTAGGTCTTGTCTTATCAATCTCATCTCCTATGACCAGGTCTCTCACCACCTGGACATGGGAGAAGAGGTAGACATTCTATACCAAGACTTCCAAAAGGCTTTTGATCTAGTATCCCACAATATCCTTATGGGAAAACTGGAAGATTGTGGGCTCAGCTGCTCAGTGGTTCAGTGGTGGGAAACTGGCTACAGGGTAGGACCCAGAGAGTTCTCGTGAATGGATCTGTGTCATCCTGGCAAGAAGTGGCCAGAGTAAGGTGCCCCATCTGGGGGCAAACAACCCTCAACACACATACAGGCTTGGTGGTGACAGCTTAAGATGCACCATGGCCAAAAGGGACCTAGGGGTAATGATTGACCATCACATGAATATGAGCTGTCAGTGCGAGATGGTGGTCAGTAGCACAAATAACACACTGGCATGCATCAACTAATCCATCTCATGTAAAACTAAGGAAGTAATACTCCCACTGTACTCGGCACTGGTGAGACCACAGTTTGAGTACTGCATCCAGTTCTGAGCACCACACTTCAAGAAGGACATGGAAAAACTTGAGAGGGTCCAGAAAAGAGCCACCCATATGATCAGGGACTTGCAAGGCAAGTCATACAAGGAAAGGCTGGGGACCTGGGCCTCTTTAGCCTAAGGAAGAGAAGGTTGAGAGGGGACTTGATAGCGGCTTACTGCTATATCAGAGGAGTGTATCAGGAGCTTGGTGAACACCTATTCACTAAGGCACCCCTGGGAAAGACCAGGACCAATAGATACAAACCCCTGGAAGGCCGCTTCAGGCTTAATACCAGGAAAAACTCCTTCACAGTCAGGATGTCCATACTGTGGAATAATCTCCCTCCAGAGGTGGTGCAGTTGCCTACCCTGGAGGTTTTCAAGAGGAGACTGGACAGTCACCTTTCTGGGGTCACCTAACCCCAGTTGTTTTCCTGCCTAGAGTGCGGGGTCTGGAACCAGTGATCTGCAAGGTCCCTTCCAGCCCCTAACAATCTATGAATCTCTGATGCAAAACCAGTTGAAGGTATAATTCGTAATATCATATCTTGACCAAGAATTTCTAAAGTAGCTAAGTATTGGGAATGTCTCAGCTTTGAGGAGCCCCACATAAACATTTTAAAGCTATCATTAGTGATTTGCAGAGCCCAACTTGTCACTTACATATGTATTCAAAGAACATAGGAAGTAACTTATTGGATCAAACCACTGGCTCATTTAACCCATTTATCCTATCTTTGACTATGGCAGTAGTGGATGCTTTAGAGGGCAAGCATATGAACAGCGTATATCTAGAGTGATCTCCCCAAGCGTACCTACTTGAGAAGCTACTGCACAGTGGATACTGTGCATTTATTTAGTACTTGTATAATCAAGTACTAAATAAATGGGCAGTAACTGGAGTTACTGTGCAGTAGCAATGACAAACAACTTTTTAATGATGCTGCTCTGCAGTAGCCTAATAATAACACACAATAGCATATTAGCACTGTTTGTGTTGTGATGTGCTACTATGTAGTAGTATTTTGCTACTGCGCAGTTAGCGTGTCATGTAGACACACCCCCTGTTACACACTCCCTGGCATCCATCATCATTCTGGATCCAGTTCCAAACCAATACATCTGCAGATTGCCCTATCAAATCTTCCATCTTTGTAAAAAATTGCCATTGGTAATGCTTTCATGTTTGTGCCTTTTTCTATTTGTATTGCTACATAACATGACATAAATTTAACTGTTTGTTAAAAAAAATCGAAACAAAAGCAAAGCCATTTTCTTTCCCCCTCCTAATTTCAAGTTACCATGAAAGCTGCTCAGTCAGCAAACAGATAAATGTACTTGGAAAGAAAGTCTCTTTAGGTTAGGTGACAGTGAACACTTTTCTTTTTTTTTAGGGCAACTATCCAAATACTTATTTGTTATAAGCTTTTGTAGCCAGCAGCTTTTCCACACAGAGCTGAGTTGACAGGTTTGCTCCTGGGATAATCACAAACTTCATTCTTCTGGGACAAAATTGCTTCTGACAGTATAAAACCCAGGACATCTTTGATGTAAAATCCAACCATAACCCATGAATGGCAAGGCTGCATAGTCATCCCATTCAACACAAAGTGTTTGTAGCGAAAAGTGTTCTTAGAGATGCCAGCTGAATGGACTGAGATGGTAAAGTTTGTTGGCTCGCCAGTCTGTAGTGCTAACTAATAAATCTGAATATAACCATACACAAGAAGGGGCCTCAAATAAGGGTGATTTCATGAATATCTCTATAATTTTATACAGTACTTGCATGGAGAACATGTAGTTTACTATTTTTTTTAATGTACATGTTTTAAAAAGGCCAGCTGACCATCTAGTATCCAGTCATGTATTTGTGTTAATGTATATATATCCCGCTTTGTTTCTATTTCATATGTATGATGAGAAAGCACAAAACTGCAGTGCCTTGAATAAAAATACTTAAGAAGCAGACTGCATGTCTCTAAGTATTGATAGCTAGCCTTAGACAAAAATACAAACCAGAACTTAATCCAGCAATAATTAAATTCCCCTTTATGGTCTGGCCAAGTTATCAAGTATAGAGAATCAAATGCCACAGGACATATTTTGATAAAAAGCTATTTGCTTCTCTTATACAATTAATAAATAGGTGTTTAAACATAAAATTTAGAATGGGCATATTGTGCTTATGCTGTAGAATACATATAAGAATGTATTATTATAGTTGACACATTCTTCACTGTTGTCATCATCCAGGGCTTTTCCATGAATTACTGCTTACTTTGTTGTGCAAAATGATTGGGTAAGACCTATAAGGTCTGCCTAAGGAAAGAGGAGTGTCCTTTGGGGAAATAGTCCTTCCTGGAACTTTCTTTGGAGCAACTATCTCAATAGCACTCTCTACCCAAACCAGTAGTGAAACAGTACCAGGCATCAAAACCAATGAGCCAGATCTTCCGCTAGTACAAATCAATGGAGCTTCACTGAAGTCTGCATTACAACTACGATTTACCGCTGTTGAGAATCTGGCAAGCAGTATGAGTCTGGACATGCAGTTATCTTCATCCATAAATTCTTAAGAAGTTTGATGCTGTTATGATAATTTCACACAATATTGTTCTTGTGTTCAGTCTCAAAGCATCCCTTCTAAAATATAATTATCATTGGTGCAATAATGCAACTGACTGGCACATTCTCATTTGTG